TGAGGACGACCCCTACCCCGCCTTCCCTCCCCTACTGATTTATGTGCTCTCCATGTCATTCTACTTTGATCTATTCTCTAAATAACCAAACCACCTCAACAACCCCTCTTCAGCCCTCTGACTAATACTTTTATCAACTCCACACCTCCTAATCACCACACTCTGAATTTTCTGCATAATATTTACACCACACATTGCCCTTAGACAGGATATCTCCATTGCCTCCAACTGCCTCTATGCTGCAGCATTTACAACCCAAGCTTCACACCCATATAAGAGAGTTGATATCACTATACTTTCATACATATATTCTTTGCCTCCATAGATAACATTTTTTTTATCTCCACATATATATAACAACACACCACTCACCGTTTTTCCTTCATCAATTCTATGGTTAACCTCATCCTTCATAAACCTATCCGCTGACATGTCAACTCCCTAATATCTGAAAACATTCACTTCTTCCATACTCCCTCTCTCCAATGTGATATCAAATTTATTTTTCTTTCTCTAAATCATTTGATCCCCTCATCACCTCACTCTTATCTATGTTCACTTTCAACTTTCTACCTTTACGCATCCTCCCAAACTCATCCACTAACCTTTGCAACTTTTCTTTAGAATCTCCCATAAGCACAGTATTATCAGCAAAAAGTAACTGTGTCAACTCCCATTTTGTATTTGATTCCCCATAATTTAATCCCACCCCTTTCCCCAACACCCTAGCATTTACTTCTTTTACAACCCCATCTATAAATATATTAAACAACCATGGTGACATTACACATTCCTGTCTAAGACCTACTTTTACTGAGAAGTAGTCTCCCTCTCTTCTACACACCCTAACCTGAGCCTCACTATCCTCATAAAAACTCTTTACAGCATTTAGTAACTTACTACCTATTCCATATACTTGCAACATCTGCCACATTGCTCCCCTATCCACTCTATCATATGCCTTTTCTAAATCCATAAATTCACTGAAAACTTCCCTACCTTTATCTAAATACTGTTCACATATATGCTTCAATGTAAACACTTGATCTACACATCCCCTACCCACTCTAAAGCCTCTTTGCTCATTCGAAATCCTACTTTCAATAATAACCCTACCATACACTTTTCCTGGTATACTCAGTAAACTTATTCCCTATAATTTTTACAATCTCTTTTGTCCCCCTTCCCTTTATATGCATGCTCTCTGCCAATCCCTATATACTTACCCCTCTTTCATACATTTATTAAACAAAAATACCAACCACTCCAACACTGTATCCCCACTGCTTTTAATATTTCTGTCATGATTCCATCAGTTTCAGGTGCTTTACCCACTTCATTCTACATAATGCCTCATGCACCTCCCCCCACACTCACATCCTGCTCTTCTTCACTCCTAAAAGATGTTATACCTCCCTAACCAGTGCATGAAATTACCGCCTCCCTTACCTCATCGACATTTAAAAGTTCCTCAAAGTATTCCCGCCATCTACCCAGTACCTCCAGCTCCCCATCTACTAACTCCCCTACTCTGTTTTTAACTGACAAATCCATTCGTTCCCTAGGCTTTCTTGTTTATCTTGCTCCAAAATTTTTTCTTATTTTCATCAAAATTTCTTGACTGCCTCTCCTACTCTATCATCTGCTCTCCTTTTGCATTCTCTTCACCTTTCATTTACTCTCCATATACTGTGCTCTTCTTATAATACTTCTGCTTTGTAAAAACCTCTCATAAGCTACCTTTTTCTCTTTTATCACACCCTTTACTTCATCATTCCACCAATCACTCCTTTTTCCTCCTGCACCCACCCTCCTATAACCACAAACTTCTGCCCCACATTCTAATACTGCATTTTTAAAACTATTCCAACCCTCTTCAATCCCCCCCACTACTCATACTTGCACTAGCCCACCTTTCTGCCAATAGTTGCTTATATCTCACCCTAACTTCCTCCTCCCTTAGTTTATACACTTTCACCTCTCTCTTACTTGTTGGTGCCATTTTTCTTTTGTCCCATCTGCCTCTTACTCTAACTTTAGCTACAACTAAATAATGATCTGATATAAACATGTACATCCTGAAGCTTGCCCATCAACCTTTTATCCACCAATACATAATCTAACAAACTACTTTCATTACATCCTATATCATACCTTGTATACTTATCCTCTTTTTCATAAAATATGTATTACTTATTACCAAACCTCTTTCTACACATAGTTCAGCTAAAGGCTCCCCATTTTCATTTACCCCTGGCACCCCAAATTTACCTACTACTCCCTCCATAACATTTTTACCCACTTTAGCATTGAAATCCCCAACCACCATTACTCTCACACTTGATTCAAAACTCCCCACGAACTCACTCAACATTTCCCAAAACCTCTCTCTCTACTCTACACTTCTCTCTTCTCCAGGTGCATAAATGCTTACTATAATCCACTTTTCACATCCAACCCTCATTTTACTCCACAATAATCCTTGAAATTATACATTTATATTCCCTCTTTTCCTGCCATAACTTATCCTTCAACATTATTGCTACTCCTTCTTTAGCTCTAACTCTATTTGAAACCCCTGACCTAATCCCATTTATTTCTCCCCACCGAAACTCTCCCACCCCCTTCAGCTTTGTTTCACTTAAAGCCAGGACATCCAGCTGCTTCTCATTCATAACATCCACAATCATCTCTTTCTTATTATTCGCACAACATCCACACACATTCGGACATCCCACTTGGATGGTTTTCTTTTTGTTTTTAGTAGGCTATACAGGAACACAGGTCACTAGCCCATAGTTCCAGGCATTTAAATTGACTTTTATAACATGCATGGCTTACGGAGGAAAGATTCTTATCCCACTTCCCCATGGAAGGAAAAGCAATAAGACCAAGAACTATTAAGATAAAATCAAAGACACCTCAGATGAGTGTGTATGCCTAAATGTGTACATGTATGTGTAGTGTGACCTAAGTGTAAGCAGAAGTAGCAAGACATACCTGAAATCTTGCATGTTTATGAGGCAGAAAAAAGTCACCAGCAATCTTACCATCATGTAAAACAATTTGTAGAAATGAAGATTATTATTATTATTTGATGTAGGCATCCTTATGTATGTATATATTACTATACACTCACTTTATAATCAGATTCAAAGCTGATCTTCTCCAGTATTGTGTTTCATTTACAGAAAAAAATGAAACCTGTAGGAATCATGCATCAGTGTGGCCTGGGAGATAGGCTTGAGCCAGTGAAATCATAGGTTTAATTTCTTGAATCAATTGTTCTTCACTAGTATTAAGGCACCCTCTAGAAGAGTAAATGGTTATAGAATCATCTATCATATATGTGTGTAGAATTCACAAGCCATTACTACCCTATCTTCATCTCTCATATTACCATGCCTCCTATATATATAGAATATTAAACTCCAGTATAAACCCTCCTCTCAAACTTCTTGATAGCTACAACAGAACACACAGGCACAAGTCACAAAACACTCTTCTACATCCCCTGTGTCCATCTCATACTATGCAAAAATACAATGCAAATAAAGAACCCCAAAATCTGGAATTCATTGCCTGAACCAGTAAAAGGTCCCCTGTCTGCCAGTCAGTTTAGGACTATAATTAAAAACTGCCTCATCTCCAAAATTTAACTATACCAACACTATATGATGCCTGAAATCATAGAACCAGTTTGAAACTATTCAAGAAATACCAATTAACTTAAGATCACTAAATCAATTTAAGGTATTAATACACACTTACAATTTATTATTGTACTATTATAAACTGTACTAAATATATATTTTTTTGCTACCTCTCTACTATAAATTTTATTAATTATAAAAAATTTTTTGTAATAACACATAATTAAAATTGACCTCTTCATAAGCTATGTCTTTTTAAGTAGTGTGTAACCATTAGCATTAGTCTGCTCAAAATGCTCGTGCATGCTAGTGGCTTTCTTTGTACTTAACAATATTTTATTACATATAAACTACACACTGTATACTATGCAAAGAAATAAAAATTTTGAATTTTGAATCTCATGCTAGTTTGCCATACTGCTCCTTTAACATTAGCCATGTTATTATTTTATTCATGGGTAAACACTAATGCTGTATGGGTCACTTAGTATATGTCAATGTGGTTTATAAAAATTTACTGACGAGACGTTTTGTCCAGAAGAGACTTTCGGATAAAATATCTACAAGTCACTTGTGGACAAAATTTAATTCTATAAACCACATATTGTAATAAAGTTGGTAGAATTACCGACAATATGTAAAGTAAAAGGACACAAGTGCAACTAATGTGACATTTATTGTGGCAGCGTTTCGCTCTCCAGGAGCTTTATCAAGCTTGATAAAGCTCCTGGAGAGCGAAACGTTGCCACAATAAATGTCACATTAGTTGCACTTGTGTCCTTTTACTTTACATAAACCACATATTGTGTCTTATTGGGTCGTATGATAAGGTAGTCAGGTTTGTTCTGGTGAGGGTGAGGGCAGTTTCAGTTCCTTGCATCAAGAGCCTTTCAACCCTCTGGAAGGAATCATCATCCATATCTTTAATTTTTTTACTTCTTTTTCAAGTTGTCTTACTTGCATTTACTGTAAAATGTGATCAGTGGATGTTGGCTTGAACCTCCATCATCACTTGTGTTGAATGACCCACATATGGGCTTAAAACTCTGCTTTAATACAACAACATTATCCAATACATATATATATTTTTAACACATTGGCTGTTTCACCGAGGCAGGGCGACCCGAAAAAGAAGAAACACTTTCATCATCACTCATTCCATCACTGTCTTGCCAGAAACGTGCCAATTCTTGCAGTTCAAAAACTGCAACATATCTCTACCCCTCCTTCAAAGTGCAGGCACTGTACATCCCATATCCAGGACTCGAGTCTGGCTAACCGGTTTCCCCGAATCCCTTCATAAATGTTACCTTGCTCATACTCCAATATGCCTGCATTAATCTTCAGGTTGGACTTCAGTTTCCTGATGAATTGTTGGGAGATGCTGCTACAGTGTGTGGTGTGATGAAGTTACAACTGGGGTTCGATGTTTACATTCTTGGAGACACATCGTACGGCAGGTGGGTCAGAGTGCTAAGTGTGGCATGGGATGTACTGTAGTATGAAAGGATGTTAATTTTATACACCTTAAAGCTTCACTACAGGACCTGTCATCTTACTTACTAAATAACAAAAAAGGCACAATACCGTGACTGGAACGATACACAAATAACCCACAGATAAAAGAGAGAAGCTTACGACGACGTTTCGGTCCGACTTGGACCGACTTTGTCAATGGTCCAAGTCGGACCGAAACGTCGTCGTAAGCTTCTCTCTTTTATGTGTGGGTTATTTGTGTATCTTACTTACTCCTTGACCTGTCTTCCCATACACTGACCTGACACCTGTCATTTCACTCACTTTTTGACCTGCCCCTCCTACATGCTGACCTGACACCTGCCATCTTACTCATTTCTTGACCTGTCCTCCCATGCACTGACCTGACACCTGTTATCTTACTCCTTGACCTGTCCTCCCATGCACTGACCTGACACCTGTTATCTTACTCCTTGACCTGTCCTCCCATGCACTGACATGACACCTGTCATCTCACTCATTCCTTGACCTGTTCTTCCATCACTGACCTGACAATCCTTATTTCCCTGGACAGTGTGAGGTGCAGCCTTACCTATAAATTCATGTTCTTTCATTTGTGTATCTGCTGAAGAGAACTCCAGAAGGGGGTCAGAATATACAGATCGATTAATATTCTGAGTTTCTGTCTCCATGTGGGTTATTATTCAACATTTGTTCAGTAAATGAATAGTGTTCTGTATCTTAAATCCCTATCAAAAATTAGTCACAACAGTCAATGTTTCATCATATATGTGATGTAATAACATACTATAATTACATACTTCTCCATAGGGAAGTGGAAAAGAAGTCTTTCTCATTAAACCATGCTTGCATAAGAGGTGACTAAAATGCTGGGAACAAGGGGCTAGTAACACCTTGTGTATACATTACTAAAGTTAAAAAAAAAAAAAACTTTTGTTTTTCTTTTTGGGTCACCTTACCTTGGTGGGATATGGCTGGTTTCTTGAATAAAAAAACTATAAACCTATAGCAGTAACTGTGAACACTTTTCACTTAATCTCTGGGGCCCTTCAGCTGGTAGAGGACCCTGGGGTGCAGCCCAGGGGCCTCCACAGCCTTAATCTGATCCTGTATACAGTGGAGTTGTTTTTTCTGTATACAGTATTTTTAACATCATTCTAAGTTAACAGATGCTCTGATAATCCCAATATATTGAGAGTTTTGATACAATGTTAATGTTGAAAACCACATTTACAAAATAATGTTAAGTGGGCGAGAGAAAGATTATTATCAGTATTATCCACAATGTAAGGAATTTCCTACACGTTTACAGTTCAGTTTTTGGGAACATAATTGTTTCATTTAAAAGGCTTAATGGCATTTAAATTTCAAAATATAAACAAACAAACAAAAAACATTTTATTTCTTTGTGCAGTATACAGTAGTTTACATGTAATAAAATATTGTTAAGCACAAAATAAAGGCACTAACATGGAGTATATTTCAGACAGAGAAGCATGTGTTTCCTTCCCTGGGTCACCTACCATGGTGGGGTCGTTGCACTTGTTATAGAATTAAAGCATTAAAATTTTTAACATACTGGCCATCTCCCACCAATATATAATTACTAATATAATTAGGGTCACTGTATCTCAATGGGGGACGGCCATGTGCTAAAAAAAAAATGAATTTTTATAATTCTTGAATGCCTGTTCTGGCAAATCCAACCATAAATATGATAACTACAATGAATAAGAATGCTAAAGTTTATATTTAAGAGTGACAGTACGATCATCAAATTTAATTTTTTTATTTTTTTGAGCAGTATACAGGAATGTAGTTTACATGAAATAAAATACATGTATTGTTAGGCACAAAAGAAAGCCACTGGCATGCGGTGCATTTTAGGGAGACTAATACTAATGGTTAAAGACTACTTAAGAAACTAGATATAGATTATTTAGTAGGAGTATTTAAAGGTACAAAAAAAAAGAGGGGGTTAAATGAACGAGAGTACAATTTTAAAAGTACCATATTTTCCAGCACTTAAGGTGCATTAGTGTTGGTTGCTTGTAACATAACATTAGTAAACAACCTCTAAAGCGTAACCCAAAACCCACCCTTGACCCTGACCTTGAACATATAAGGCATAGGCTAAATTTTCCAAGACTTTTTTTTGGGGGGGAAAAAGCATGCCTTATATGCTTTAAAATGTGGTATGCATTAGTACTTCAAACTGATTCAGTGATCTTCAGTTAAGTAGGATTTCTTCAGCAATTAACTCTAGAACATATGAACATAAGGAAGAAGGAACACTGCAACAGGCCTCCTGGCCTATGTGAGGCAGGTCCAATTCTCCCACCAGCTTAAGCTCACTGACCGTCTGACCTCACTGACCGTCTGACCTCACTGACCTAGTGAGGTCAGACGCATCACTTAAGGGAGCAGCATGGCATTCGACCTAGTAGCACAAGCTAGTTACGTCCAACTCACACCCACCCGCACACACTCATGTATTCATCCAACCTGTTTTTAAAACTACACAACGTCTTAGCTTCTAAGACAGTTCTCGGGAGTTTGTTCCACTCATCCACAATTCTGTTACCAAACCAGTGCTTTCCTATATCCTTCCTGAATCTGAATTTTTCCAATTTAAAATCATTGCTGCGAGTCCTGTTTATATTAGATATTTTTAGCATGCTATTTACATCCCCTTTATTAATTCCTGTTTTCCATTTATTCACCTCAATCATATCCCCCCCTAATTCTACGCCTTTCTAGAGAGTGCAGATTCAGGGCCCTCAGTCTATCCTCATAGGGAAGATTTCTGATACATGGGATCAACTTTGTCATCCTCCTTTGTATGTTTTCCAGTGCATTTATATCCATTCTGTAATACGGTGACCAAAACTGCGCAGCATAATCTAAATGAGGCCTAACCAAAGATATATAGAGTTGAAGAACAACCCGAGTACTTCTATTATTTATACTTCTTGCTATGAAGTCAAGGATTCTGTTGGCTTTACTGCAAACATTTATGCACTGTTGTCTTGGTTTCAGATTACTGCTAACCAGAACTCCTAAATCCTTTTTGCAATCTGTAATATTAAGATCTACGTACATTATTTAGTTTATATGTGGTATGGTTATTTTCCTGTTCAACATTTAGAGCTTTGGATTTCTCTATATTAAACTGCACCTGCCACTTCTCCGACCACTGCATCAGTCTATTCAAATCATCCTAGAGTGCTCTAATGTCTTCATTAAAATGAACTGGACAGTTTATTGTCGTGTCATCAGCAAATTTGCTTATGTCGCTTTTTATTCCCTCATCTATGTCGTTTATGTAAATTGTGAACAACAACGGGCCCAACACTGACCCCTGTGGAACACCGCTTGTGACGTGCCCCCATTCTGACTTCTCCCCATATATGCAAACTCTCTGCTGCCTATTTGTTCACCATGCCTCTACCCAGGAAAAAAATTTTCCTCCTATTCCGTGTGCCTCAAGTTTTATCAACAGCCTCTGATGTGGAACTCTATCAAAAGCCTTACTGAAGCCCACATACACAATATCATATTCAATACCATGATCTACCTCCTCAAATACCTTAGTGAAGAAAGTTAGTAAATTCATAAGACAGGAATGCCCCTTTGTAAAACCGTGCTGAGATTCATTAATCAATTTATGCCTTTCAAGATAGCTACGAATTGCTTTGGCAGTTATTGATTCCTTAAATTTACCAGCTATGGAAGTAAGGCTTATTGGTCTATAGTTCGAAGCTAAGGACCTGTCACCTGCCTTATAAATGGGTATTACATTTGCCATTTTCCACTTGTCTGGCACTTCGCCAGTTTGTAGTGATATATTGAAAAGATTAGCCAAAGGTATACTAAGTTACTTTTTACAGTCCAACCCTTGCAAACAGTTCATCAGGAGCTGGGAATTTGTTAGGTTTAAATTTTCTATTTGTCTGAGGACCATGTCACTAATTATCCTAATCGTGTGTAGTTTATTATCGTCCTTTTCTACATAATTTATTATTTCTGGAATTTTGCTAGTAGTATCTTCCTGAGTAAAAACTGAGAGGAAGTAAGTATTGAAAAGTTCACACATATCCTTATCACTGTCAGTGATCTGACTTGAGTTACTCTTAAGTGGGCCTATCTTGTCCCTAATCTTACTTCTGTATACCTGAAAGAACCCTTTTGGGTTAGTCTTTGAATCCCTTGCGACTTTAGCCTCATAATCCCTTTTTGCTTTTCTTATTCCTTTTTTTTATTTCTCTCTTTAATTGAATATATTGATTTCTTAACTGCCCTTCCCCTCTTTTGATATGCCTATATATGCCTCTCTTTTGACCAGTGAGACATTTTAATCTATTGTTTATCCATTTGGGATAATTTTTGTTAGATCTAATTTCCCTACTTGGGACAAAAGTCATCTGGGCAGCTAGCACTATGCTCTAAAATATGTCATATTGGCAACCAACCCTACCAACCTTACACATAGTAAGGTCGTCCCAATTTAGCCAACCCAGTTAATTTCTCATACACATGAAATTGGCCAAGTGGAAATCTGGGACAGTGACTTGATTGCAGTTATCTAGGTAATTCCTAGCTCATCACTAACCTCATGATTTTTAACTAGTGATTCTTTGTTGGCAAGAACCAAGTCAAGCAGATTGTTTCTTCTAGTTGGTTCTGTCACAAACTGTTTTAAAAAGCAGTCTTGAACCATATCAAAGCAGTCACTAGACTCAAGATTTCCTGTCACATTGTTCCAATCAATTTGTCTAAAGCTAAAATCTCCCATTAGCACAACATTTTCATATCTACACGCCTTATGAATTCCGTCCCATAGCAGCCTACCGCACTTCCTATCAAGGTTTGGGGGCCTATAAATCACATCCAAAATTAATTTTTCACGACCATCGAGAAACTGTAGCCAAACAGATTCTGTGTCCAATGTTTCTAATGTTACATCTTGTCTAACACAAGAATTTAAATTATCAAAGGTATAAACATTTGCCATCATTCATTCAATACCTAATGTCTTCCCTGGTGTCTTTTTTTCTAATATGTGGTGTTATATTTTGACAGTTGTTGTGTAGATGAGGTGGCAGCAGAACATATTGGTGCTGATGCCATCATTCACTTTGGCCAAACTTGCCTCAGCCCCACCAGAAGAATGCCAGTTCTGTACATCTTCACAAAAATACCAGTCAATATCACTGGAGTGGTCTCGGGTCTGGAAAGTACCATTGAAGATAGGATAAGAAATTTGATATTTGTGTATGATATAAGGTGCCATTATCTTGCCAGTAAGTTTCATTTAATATGTATTATATTTCTCTCTTTTATGCTCAAATAATTTTAAATAAGGGATATGCAAAGCAGATATTTTATTCAGAGTTGACAGTAATAAAATGCACTGCCGGAGAGCCCTGTTTTCATGGCTGTTATGTTTCTGACCTCTGGCAATAAGCAAATATTACCAACAGTCAGAAAAGAGCATTTTTTTTAACATTGAATGCATCTAAAGTGCCTGATAATGTGTCTACACTATTATATATTAAGTGCTCAGTACAGCTAGGCATAAAAAAGCAGAAAAAAAGTAAAGTAAATATACACAGTACATACAATACTTTTAAAATACGAAGCCAGTTGCCCTTCCCTTACACAGCTGTTACGAAAATGGTCATAATAGCAGAAAAGTGATAAAAGCACTGAATATAATGAAGAATGGGTCAGTTGAAAGCCAATGAAAATGCAGAATGCAAAAAAGACATACTGTAAATGAGGGGCCCTTCTATACATAGTATATACAATACTTACCTTAAAATATGGTGCCAGTCACTCTTCCTTATGCAACTGCTGTGCAAAAATGGCAGAAAAGTGGAAAAACACTGAACATAATGAACAGCAGATTAGATGATAACCACTGAAAATGTGGAATAATGAAAAGAGGGTGCCAAATATATGGGGCCCTCCTGTACATTGCAAAGAAAAAATTGTGTCATTTTGAAACTAAGAAAAACTGTAGTAGATTTGACTGGAATGATAGTATATGGAAAGTTTAGTAAATTTATTTCATTGCAGGAAAGTTTTTACTGTAGTATGTTATAATGATAATAATGCATGGGTAAAAGTGAATGGGAATACTGTATTGTTATCCCATTGTCTTTTGAACACATGTAGCCAACTGTTGTGGGTTGCATCCTGTGGGAACAAGATTAACTTAGGCTGCTCAAAATGATCTACATAACCAGGGGACCTTCTATGAAGTAAGGCAATAATGTCAGCTAGGTCAGTATCAGTTATATTATGTACTTGTAGAAATAAAAATTATTATTATTTTTTCTTTAACTCACTGATCGTCTCACACACTGAGGCACGATGACCCAGAAAAAGAAGGAACACTTTTATACAGTTTTTTTTTTTTTTACATTAGCGAGGGGTTGTGACTTCTCCCTTTTCCCACAGTGCAAGGGGGGGGGGATGATTTCTCCACCATTATTATTTTTTAATATCCTGGTCGTCTCCCAACGAGCCAGGGTGACCCAAAAAAGAAACACTTTCGCCATTGTTCACACTATCACTGTTTTGCCAGAGGTGTCCCATAGCTCTGTTGCTAGCACACTCAACTCGCACATTGAGGTCCATGGTTCGATTCCTGGTATGGATGGAAACATTGGGGGTGTGTTTCCTTAAGACACCTGCTGTCCCTGTTAACCTAGCAGTAAAATAGGTACCTTGGTGTTAGTTGACTTGTGTGGGTTGCATCATGGCAACAAGACTGATCTAATTTGCTCGAAATGCTCTGCATAACCAGGGACTTTCTATATAGTATGTAATGGATGTCATCTATGGTCTGTATAAGTTGTACATGCACTTGTAGAAATAAAGATTATTATTATTCTTAGTAGGTGTACAGATATAACAGTTCAAATGTCCTCTTAACAGCAAATATCTCTAACCTCTCCTTTAGAATGCAGTTGCTGTACTTCTTACCTCCAGGACTCAAGTCTGGGTAACTGGTTTCCTTGAATTCCTTCACAAAATGTTACCTTACACTCCAACAGCTCTTCTGATCTCAAAAACCATTTTACTTCACTCACTCCTATCAAACATGATCACAGATGCCTGCTGGATGTCTGAGCATAAATAACAGAGTTCACTTCTCAGCGATTAGCCTCCCCTTAGCAGTATATTTTCATATGGATTTTATGGTTGTATTCTCGTTTTATTTGGTCTCATGTGATAGAATGGAAGATACTACAAAAATAAATGTGATTTTAATTTGCTTCACGATGAAAAGTGCCTTGAAACTGAGTTCAGAAGAGCAGAAATGTTCGATTCTTTGGCGACATCAGTGGTAGACATCATGAGGTAGCAGTGGTAGACATCATGAGGTAGCAGTGGCAGACAACATGAAGCAGCAGTGGCAGACAACATGAGGTAGCAGTGGCAGACAACATGAGGTAGCAGTGGCAGACAACATGAAGCAGCAGTGACAGACAACATGAAGCAGCAGTGACAGACAACATGAGGTAGCAGTGGCAGACAACATGAGGTAGCAGTGACAGACATCATGAGGTAGCAGTGGCAGACAACATGAAGCAGCAGTGACAGACAACATGAAGCAGCAGTGACAGACAACATGAAGCAGCAGTGACAGACAACATGAGGTAGCAGTGGCAGACAACATGAAGCAGCAGTGACAGACAACATGAGGTAGCAGTGACAGACAACATGAAGCAGCAGTGACAGACAACATGAGGTAGCAATGGCAAAGTGTAGAATTAAGAGTGTAGCAATTAAGTGTAGCATTAAGAGTGTAGCAATTAAGTGTAGCATTAAGAGTGTAGCAATTAACCCGTAAACGGTCCAAACGTATATATACATTTTTCAACATTTGAAAGTATGTAAAAAAAGTAGTGATTGTTTTACATGATGGTAGGATTGCTGATGTCTTTTGTCTGTCTCATAAATATGCAAGATTACAGGTATGTCTTGCTACTTCTACTTACACTTAGGTCACACTACACATACATGTACACATTTATTTATACACACTCATCTGAGTTTTCTTTGATTTTATCTTAATAGTTCTTGGTCTTATTAATTTTCCTTTTATATCCATGGGGAAGTGGAATAAGAATCTTTCCTCCGTAAGCCATGCGTGTTGTAAAAGTCAACTAAAATGCCGGGAACAATGGGCTAGTAACCAGTTTTCCTGTAAAGATTACTAAAAAGAATAAGAAGAAGAAAATTGTCAAAGTGGGAAGTCTGAATGTGCGTGGATGTTGTGCAGATGATAGGAAAGAGATGATTGTGGATGTTATGAATGAGAAGAAGCTGGATGTCCTGGCTTTAAGTGAAACAAAGCTGAAGGGGGTGGAGAGTTTCAGTGGAGAGAATAAATGGGATTAGGTCAGGGGTTTCAAATAGAGTTAGAGCTAAAGAAGAGTAGCAATAATGTTGAAGGATAAGCTATGGCAGGAAAAGAGGGACTATAAATGTATTAATTCAAGGATTATGTGGAGTAAAATAAAGATTGGATGTGAAAAGTGGGTTATAATAAGCGTGTATGCACCTGGAGAATAGAGAAGTGTAGAGGAAGAGAGAGATTTTGGGAAATGTTGAGTGAATGCGGGGGGAGTTTTGAATCAAGTGTGAGAGTAATGGTGGTTGGGGATTTCAATGCTAAAGTGGGTAAAAATGTTAGGGAAGGAGTAGTAGGTAAATTTGGGGTGCCAGGGGTAAATGTAAATGGGGAGCCTTTAATTGAGCTATGTGTAGAAAGAAATTTGGTAATAAGTAATACATATTTTATGAAAAAGAGGATAAATAAATATACAAGGTATGATGAAAGCACGTAATGAAAGTAGTTTATTAGATTATGTATTGGTGGATAAAAGGTTGATGGGTAGGCTCCAGGATGTACATGTTTATAGAGGGGCAACTGATATATCGGATCATTATTTAGTTGTAGCTACAGTTAGAGTAAGAGGTAGATGGGAAAAGAGGAAGGTGGCAACAACAAGTAAGAGGGGGGTGAAAGTGTATAAACTAAGGGAGGAGGAAGTTCGGGTGAGATATAAGCGACTATTGGCAGAAAGGTGGGCTAGTGCAAAGATGAGTAGTGGGGGGTTGAAGAGGGTTGGAATAGTTTTAAAAATGCAGTATAGAATGTGGGGCAGAAGTTTGTGGTTATAGGAGGGTGGGGCAGGGGGAAAGAGGAGTGATTGGTGGAATGATGAAGTAAAGGGTGTGATAAAAGAGAAAAAGGTAGCTTATGGAGGTTTATACAAAGCAGAAGTGTTATAAGAAGAGCAGAGTATATGGAGAGTAAAAGAAAGGTAAAGAAGTGGTGAGAGAGTGCAAAAGGAGAGCAGATGATAGAGTGGAGAAGCACTGTCAAGAAATTTTAATGAAAATAAGAAAAAATTTTGGAGTGAGTTAAACAAGTTAAGAAAGCCTAGGGAAAATATGGATTTGTCAGTTAAAAAACAGAGTAGGGGAGTTAGTAGATGGGGAGATGGAGGTATTGGGTAGATGGCGAGAATATTTTGAGGAACTTTTAAATGTTAAGGAAGAAACAGAGGCAGTAATTTCATGCACTGGTCAGGGAGGTATACCATCTTTTAGGAGTGGAAGAAGAGCAGAATGTAAGTGTGGGGAGGTACGTGAGGCATTACGTAAAATGAAAGGGGGTAAAGCAGCTGGAACTGATGGGATCATGACAGAAATTTTAAAAGCGGGGGGGTTTTAATGTTGGAGGGGTTGGGTACTTTTTTTTAAATAAATGTTAAAAGGGGGGAAGGGTCCCTGGGGGATTGGAGAGCTTTATATCCCTTTATAAAAAGGGGAAAGGGGGGAAAAAGAGACGTAAAAATTTAGAGGAATAAGCTTACGGGTATACCAAAAAAGTGAAAGGTAGGTTATAATTGAAAATTGAGGTAAACGAATGAGGTTTTGCGGATGGCAAGGAGGTTTTAGAGTGGTGGGGGATGTGTAGATCAGGTGTTTACTTTGGCAAAAATATGAACTTTTTTAGATAAAGATAGGAATTTTTATTCATTTAGGGATTTAGAAAAGGCATATGATAGAGTGGATAGAGGACAATGTGGCAGATGTTGAAGTATATGGAATAGGGGGAAAGTTTTAAATCTGAAAAGAGTTTTTATGAGGATAGTGGGGCTCGGGTTAGGGGTGTAAAAAAGGGGGAACTATTTCCCCGGTAAAAAGGTCTTAGACAGGGATGTGTAAGTCACCATGGTTTTTAATATTTTATAGATGGGGGTTTAAAGGAAGTAAA